CGCCCTGAGTCCTTCGGGAGAAGGGCGGTATAGAAATAAAATTATTATTATTATTATTATTATTATTATTATTATTATTATTATCTGTTACAGACATACATACTCAATGTGCAGATATCTACAGTGGCTGAGATACTCAAATTACATGGACAGGAAATTGGGAGCACTCTAAATAATGGGTTATACTATACAGATCAATCTCAGACAGAATGAAAGAATTTTAAAATGTATCAGATGATGTAGATAACATCTTCAAGATCAGCTCCTAATATTGTAGATGCATCCATGCAAATTTCTTGGCATGCCATTGCTTTCCTCCAATTGTTTAATTTCCTAATTAAACTAACAGCTCTGGAATTTCCTGGACTAACTACAGTTAGTCCTGAATTTACAACCACAATTGAGCCCAGAGTTTCTGTTGCTAAGCAAGACAATTGAGTTTTGCCCCATTTTATGACCTTTCTTGTCACAGCTGTTAAGTGAATCACTGCAGTTATTAAGCTAGTAACAGTGTTAAGTGAATCTGATTTCCCCACTGACTTTGCTTTACAGGTCATAAAAGGTGAGAGGAAGAGAAAGAACGAAAGAACAAGAGAAAGAGAGAGAGAGAGAGGAAAGAAAGACAGACAGACAGACAGACTTCTGTGCCACCGTCTCTCCTGTCATAACAATTACATGACTCTTTGTACTTACTTGCTAGATGTCTGTGAGCAAAAAAAAGTTTTCATAATTAATGTCACTACTGCTTTATTTAGAAGACTATTATCTAATAGAATTTTCAAAATGCAACAACACATTTATACTTACTTTAAAAGTCAGCAGATGTTACATTATTCTTTATTAAAAGATATTGTAAACTAGTAACATGACATATACAATTGGAAATGTGCTTTTAAAATACACTTTGCATATGAAAATTATATGCATATTAAAAAAGATGCCATATAACAATGAAAGAACCAAAAAAAACCTCCCAAAAACATCAGTGGAAACCAGTGTCCTGAATGAACCTGAATCATGTAAGAAGTTTGCTATATCTCCCAGGCAAGGAGCTCCAATGAGAAAAATCTGCAATCAAGTGAGCAACCCCTGACAAAGAATTGGGACGGCTCTAAGACTGTCATAGTTAAGTTATGACAAGCACAAAGCTGGTTGCCCAAGGCAGCTTCTGAAGGGACCTGAAGCCTTGCAGTATCATCACCTCAGAACATTCCATTGCTACTGCCAGCCCTAACTGGGAAAGTTTGCACCGCATGGATGTACACGGTATGCCAACCAAATTTCTGTTCTTTTTCTAACAAGGAGAAAATCTTGAAAATTGGCTCCTGGATCTTGGTCACAAACAGATAGCCCTTCAACTGCATTTCTCCCCTGATCATTCAAATCTGTGTTGATATTATACAAAATACCTACACAGCACACCAAAATTAAATTAAGCCACATGGTCTTATTCATGCAAAGCAGATTAGTCTCTTCATTCACAAGAATTCTTGGATTGCTGCTCTTTCAGCAACACCATCAACAGGGAGAAAGCAATAGACCAATGTGACTGCCCAAGTACTGATGGACAGGCAAAATCCAAAGAAAAGAGATAGCAATTGCCTGAAGCCTCTTCTGACCTGTTGTCTCCTGAACAACAAATCTCTTTCAAAAATATAGAAGAAATCCTAGGAAATCCTTCCTAGGTTCCAGGAGTAAGTTTCATGCCATTTTTAATCTCTTACCCATCAAGACTGACCCACAGTTTTTGGACTAATTTGAACTCCAAATGGTCACTGTTGCAACTCTCTTTACATCAGATGGTATACTTTAGGTTGATGTAAGTTATAGTATCTGGACAAAGGACAACCAAGTGTTTCAATGAATACTTTGTTCACAAACCCACACTTAATCAGCTCACTTAAAGAACTAAAAACTGCACACATATAGCATGCTATGCTTTGATAGTTTTAACAAATTTGATTTCCCCTTTTGGTTGATAAGCTTTTCAAGGTAGCCCAGATAAGAAGCAAGACAATGAATACTAGCTCTGTATTTATTGTAAAGTTAATTAACAGAATCCTGTAAGTCTGAAAGTACTTCTCCTGTCCCCTACTTTTACTCTCTCAAAAACTAGGCAGGATCCCTTCTGCGACCCTTTCTCCACCCCTCTTTTGAACTCAGATTTCTCTTATCAGACCACTGTCTAAGCTCCAGATCTTCCTCCTGTCTTCCATGGTCAGTCCCAAGGAACATTACAGGTTAAAATGTTGTATAGTACAAACCCAGCACATCTGGTTAGTTTATGGTTCAATGTACTGCATAGATCCAGATAATGGGTTATATAACAGGTATTGTATGATCAGTTATACTGGATCTGAACTGAACTGAACTGAAATCCAAAATCACAATCTTCAGACAAGCCATGCCTGAGTCAGTTTGGATGCCTGGCAAGTGCCTACAATTTTTATTATTGGTTTACTTTTGTCTTCTTCCTGGGGCTCAGGGAGTAACTGGAACAGGTTACCCAGAGAGGTGAACAAGAATACCAATTTTGAAATCAATTGCCATTGCCCTTTTATTGGTATCTGCATCCAGTGTCAAAATATGATATACTTTTTTTCCCCTAAATCCCAGGTCAATCTAGTCTTGGGAGTTCCCTTTGATCTCCTAAGTACTAATGTTAGTACTAAGTACTAATCAGGCCCAACTATTTTAGGTTCACAGCCCAAGCTCCGAAAAAGATGATGTTATGCAAAAGAAAAACGAAAGGCCTGCGCAACTGAGATAAAATATGCAAATATAAAGAGAGGCCCGCGATGTTTAAAGGCTGCTCACGCATCAGCCATTTTAGATTCATAAACTGATCTGCCAAAATTTAGGTAATATTTCACTTTCCCATAGTCGCGCTCCGAGGCAACTCTTCAAGCTAACGCACATTAAAAACCCATGAGAAATACACTCCTCTCGAAAGCCCCAGCCGGTTTAAAGCTACTTCCGGAGCCTCAGTAGGCCCTATATATGAGCGAACCCCCCCTCCACGCCTCAGTCCCTCCTTGTTGATCCCATCTTTCTCCTTCCAAACTCGGCGCTGCCCTTCTCGATTGATCTTTTAGGCCGTAGCTTGCAAGATAAGCTGCTGCTCAGCGCTCGGGAAAACCGCCCGTTTCTGCTGCTGGCCCTCGGCAGGAGCACTTGCTGGCGCCGGACTCCTCCTCACCTTTGTGTCTGGGGGCAAGATGAGCACTTGGTTGCTGCAGCTGTTTTTTTCATTCTGCCCCACTTCCTCGTCCTCCTCCTTCTTGGCTGCGTCCTTCTGCGCCAAGGCCGAGTTAAACGAGACCTTCACCATGGCTGCAGAAAGCTCTCGGCTAAGGCTTCAGAAGAGATACCAAACGTCAGGCTGCTGCGGCGAAGGTGGCCGATCGGGCTTCCGCCTCCTTCCCGCCGAGTCCCAGGAGCAGAACCGGTGCAGCTGAAGGTTCTGCGCGGCTTCTCTTCTCCTCCTCTATCGCCCTCAGGTGCCGAGCCTGCCCGACCGAACAAGGGAAACCGAAAGGCAGGTAGAGGATTCGCTAGGGCGGGAGCCAGCCAGCCAGCCAGCCAGCCAACTCAGCGTCGACAGCCGGATCGAGCAGCCAACCCTCAGCCGCAAGGCAAGCGGGAACCAGACTCGACGGGCCAGAAGTCGGAGCTGCTGCGCAGGAAACCAAAAGCTCCGGCAGAGCGCGAGCCTTCTGAGGAAGTTTGCCCGAGGCACAAAAACAAACATGACCGCAACTACTCAGGTTCTCCTTCATTCCGGTTGTATCTGAGATGCTAACTTGAGCACGGCGCTAGATTGTGGCTGTCTGAAACTTGGTGAATTCAGCTGGTGTGAACTCGCTGGCTTAGGTCGGCAATTGCTCATAAAGCTCACTTGGTTCCGACCATACTCAATGTAATCTTGAGCTACTAGAGGAAATAAGGCAACCATGCCTTACATCACAAAATGTCTCCTAAATGCATTCACCTTTCATTTTACTCCCACGGTCATACACAGGCTCATATCCCCCTCCAGGGTTTTAATGCGGATATTTACTTCTACTAAAATGAGCCATGGCTCAAGGCACTTTCTGCTATTACAGATGTGCTCATCTTTGGCTAAATAACTGCCTGAACTGTAAATTAAAGACCAGCCAGTTAGCTCAACTCCTAGTCAAGACACGGACATCTTTGTTTCCCTCTGCATATGTGGGAGTTTTTCTCTTTTTCTGCCTGGACAAGTTCCCAGAGTTTTCTTGGCAAAATTTTTCAGAAGCGGTTTGCCACTGCCTGCTTCCTAGGGCTGAGAGAAAGTGACTGGCCAAAGCTAATCCAACTCAAGGACAAGTTTCTAGCCTTAATGGTGTTAAGTCCTCGCACTTACGACTCCGCCCGAGCCAGTCGGCTACAGCTCGTTCCTGATTGATTAAGACTCGAACAGCAAAAGAGAGGGAAAATGTAGCCATCCGATTGGTTCCTCCGTCTGACAGCTCCTCCATTTAAGCAGCTGTCAGACGGCAACAGTTCTGTCCGTGCATTAGCTCGCGCGGAGTTGCCTTGTTCTTGTTAGCTGTTGGTGTTAGCAATAAACGTTGAGTTGTACCAGCCTAGCCTCCTTCCGTTCCTGCCTCGTTCTCCCGACAGAGCAGATGCCTTAACCATAAACTGGCTCTCTCGGTCTAGCTTACCCTTCCATAATTCCCTGTGGCCTCCATCTACCTACTAATCAGGTTTGACCCTGCTTAATTTTAGCAAGAATAACCAAGGGTGCTTCATTCAGGATATCAGTTTGTGGCCCAGTGCTTGTGCAAATCCAGTAAATCATGATTAAGGTAACAAGGGGTACATTGCAAAGTCAGAGCTAGGCTCTTCATTTTAAAGTGAAGTTTAGCGTTTTTACCCCTATTGGTATTATTTTGTGCTCTTTTACCCTGAACTGCACCCACCACCGCCATTGTTTGATTAGTAGATGTGTATAGTCAGCTTTTCTTTCATTCCCAGTGGAGAGTTTAAGACGGTTTCTGTCCTTTTAAAAAGTTTTTTTTTTAATCGAGATAATAATTATCCTTCAAGAACATCTCTGCTACCAAATTGGCAGTTACCACCGGCAGTTGAGCCCTGAAAAGACCGCCTCTCCCACGCAGATTGGCTGCGCCACCGTCTGGCCGAGGAAGGCGGAGTTAAACCGCACATAAGTCTGCGGGACCGGCCATGGAGAAGCCGCTGCGCCCAGGGGTCGGAGTTGGGGTGGTGATCACGAGCCTCAGGCACCCTGGTTGCGTCCTAGTAGGCAAGCGGAGAAGTGTCGTCGGCAGCGGCTTCTTCCAGCTTCCCGGAGGACACTTAGAGTTCGGGTGAGTTGGAGGCGTGCCTCGTGATGATGTCGCGCGGCCCGTTCCTCTTGCGCACGTGGAGCTGGCGGAGGGGCTTTGGCGGGTTACTCGGCTATTTTTAAGATATTTGGACTCCAGTTTCCAGAATCCCACAGCCAACATTCCGGGAATGGAAGTCCACACATTTAAAGCTGCAGTCTTTGAAAAACACCGGGATAAATAGATGGGGTGCCTTCTGAATGAATGCTCGGTTTTAATTTTAAAAAGTTGTAGGCTTCCTACACCTAGGGAGGGGAGGGAGGGAGGGATGGAAGGAAGGAAAAGGGAATTAGTAAGTAAGAAGTCAAGTCAGTCGTCATCAGTAACCGAATAACAGTTGGAAGGGACCTTGGAGGTCTTCTAGTCCAACCCCCTGCTCAAGCTGGAAACAGTTTTAATTATATGGAGTGTTATTGTTTTAAACTTTTATTGGTGGTAAAGCTTCTAGATTTTGGTTGCAAAACATCAAATGACAGTGGTAACAAATAGATATAGTAGACCAACGTTCGCTGTTTTTTGTAGCCCAAATCTGGTATTGCTGGTTAATAATTTTATTAAAATGGGGGATTTTAATAAATCCCCCATTTCCCTTCCCTTTGAAAATTGAGGGGAAGGGAAGGAAAGGCTTTGATCTGAATAATGGGATGTCAGAGCTTTGCTTGACTTTCTAGTGGCAGTAATAGTAACAGAATAACAGTTGAAAAGAATGTCAGAGGTCTTCTAGTTCAACCCCCTGCTCAAGCAGGAGACCCTATACCATTCTGGACAAATGGGTCTTCAATCCTTTCTTTAAAACTTCCAGGGATGGAGCACCCACAACTTCAGAAGGCAAGCTGTTACATTGATTAATTATTGCCATTGAAAATTTCTCCTTAGTTCTAGATTGGATCTCTCTTTGATAAATTTCCATCCCTTACTTCTTGTCCTGTCCTCATGTGTTTTGGAGAATTGGTCGACCCTCTCCTCTCTGTGACAGCCCCTCAAATATTGGAAGACTGCTATCTAGTCACCCCTGTCCTTCTCTGCATTAGGCTGAACATACCCTGTTGCTGTTCTGTGCAGTCTCATCTTTTTTGTATTGTGATCAAAACTGAATGCAGTATTCCAAGTGTGGTTGTACTAATGTAGTATAAAGCGGTATCATCACTTCATGTGATCTTGATATTATCCCTTGGTTGATGCAGCTTTAGGACTGTATTGGCTTTATTCAGCAATTGCAGCACCCTGCTGGCTCATACTTAAGCGGTTATCTACTAGGACACAGAGATCCTGCTCAAAATTACTGTTGTTAAACCAGGTACCACTTATTCTATACATATGTATTTGGTTTTTCTTGCCTAAATATAAAAGCTTATTACATTTTGTTGTATAAGGCCCAGTATACATATCTGTCAAGATCCTTCTAGACAGACATGGGCATTCTATGGTCCATGGCTGTCTTTATCCAGTCCATGATAGTGGGGAGCGCTGCAGCAGCCTCATTGGTTTAGCCCTCCACAACAGTCCCAATTTTGCATGTGGCCCCTTGGGAAAAGTAATTGTCTACCCTGTTCTAAAGTGTTGGCTACTCCCCCCCACTTGATGTCTGCAAATTTGATGAGTTCCCCTTCTATCCCCTCATCTAAACATTTATGAAGATGTTGAAGAGTACTAGGCCTAAGACAAAACTTTGGGGTACCCCACTGTATTCTTCCCTTCATGTACATGTAGTTTCATTGAGGACTACATGTTGAGAGTCATTGGTTAGCCAGCTACGAATCAGTCTGGTGGTGGTGATGTCTACCCAAATTTTTCTATGTTGCCAAGAAGTAGGCTGTGATCTACTTGGTTAAATTACTGAAGTGCAATGTCCACAGCATTTCGCTGGTTCACTAATTTAGTCACTTTGTCAAAGAATGCAATAAGGTTTGTCTGGCATTCACAGATATGTTGCTTGTTTATCTTTTCCAGGATCTTCCCAAATATTGATGTCAGGCTGATAGTTCTGTAGTTTCTTGGATCCATTTTTTTCCTTTTTTGAAGATAAGAACCATATCAGCTCTTTTCTGGTCCTTTGGTAATTCCCTGGTGCTCCAGGATCTTTGAAAGTAGGGTTCAGTAGTTCTGAGATCACATCTGTTGCCTCCTTCAGAACTCTGTAATTCATTTGATCCAAGTGATTTGAACTCGTCTAGAATGGATCGGTGTTGTCTTACCATTTTCTTGCTTATTTTGACTTGCATTCTTATTCTGTCTCCTATAGTGTTGCCTTTGATAAGTTGAACTATTTTTTTTTCTTTTTGTGTAAAGATCAATGCAAAGAATGAATTCAGCAGTTCTGCTTTCTTCACTGCTGCCTGTCACCTCCTTGCCATCTTCTCCCATTAGTGGACTGATTGATTCCTTCACTTTTTTCTTGTTTTTTACATATTGAAAGAAATGTTATTATTTTTGACATTGTTGCAATTCTTAGTTCTGAGCCCTAGCTTTCCTGACCAGATTCACGCTATATGCTTTTTATTCTTGTCGTTTTTGTCTTTCAGTTTATCAGAGGTTTTTTTTATGCAGCCATGCTGGTTTTGTCGGGGACTGAGATACGTTTTAATGCCTTTTCAGAAGGCCAGGAAAGTGGGGGCTTGCCTCACCTCTGAGAGGGGAAATATTCCACAGGGTGGGGCAATAGCAGAGAAGGTTCTCTTCCTTGACCTTGCCAGTAGGAGTTTCTTTAACTGACAGTCTGAAACATACCTTCCCTTAACTGAATATGTGGGACGGGCTGATGTAATAGGACAAAGCATTTCCATAAGTAGCCTGGCCCCATGCCATGTAGGGCTTTATAGGTCACAATCAACACCTTGAATTGGACCTGGAAGTAAATTGGCACCCAATGCAGCTTGCGAAGCAGACGTGTTACATATATCCTTTGGACACCTAAAATTGCCCATGCAGCTGCATTTTGTACCACCTGAATCCTCCAGATACCTTTCAAGGTTAGCCTTATGTTGTGCATATTGCAGTAGTCCAAATTTGAGTTAAACAGCATAAATGACCAAGCAGAGAACCTCCATATACAGGAAAGGGCATAACTGGCACATAGATTGAAGCTGAGCAAAGACCTCCCTAGGCACCTGCTCTGACCTCCTCCACTGACTCCATATAAAGGGGCGTACCTATGGCCACTCCATGTTGTAGGGTTATAAAAGTACAATAAATAAGAAAAACAATCTGAAGCTACTGAAACACCAAATATTTTCCACTAGCTCCACATACAAAAAAGCTTTACACCAGTAAACAAATATTAAAATTATGCTACATCACAGAAAATGAATTAATGAAAATAAAGTGCTATTACTTCTTTATAATCAATTTCTTTGAGAATAAAGCTGACAAAAATATTCAGGCACCTTGTTCAGAGTTGATGCCTGCTGGTTGTCATATAAACTGGATTCTTGTGATATTTCAAACTGATAGAACCACTCTTGCTTTCTGACTAACTCATATTTCCTTCACTTTTCCTCTCTGTGCAGTGAAAGTTTGGTAGAATGTGCAGAGAGAGAAACTTTAGAAGAAGCTGCTTTGCATCTAACAAATGTGCAGTTTGCTTCAGTTGTAAATGCTGCCAGTTTAAAGGATAATTACCATTATGTCACCATCCTAATGAAAGGAGACGTTGATATGAATCATGAATCCGAACCAAAGAATCTGGAACCTGATAAAAATGAAAGTAAGTTTTTAAAAAACTCTGTATCCATGTTGTCTGCATATATATATAATGTGAGAATGGTTTTCTGCTTTTTTCATGTGAACATTTGTGTGTGTATGAAAGTGCAAATCATATCCCTTATTTGTTGATATTGTGTTTAGGCAAGGCTTGGGCTGCAAGCTTCTCTAATTTATCTTGAAGTAAACTGAATTAATTTCCAGGGTACTGAAAATGTGTCCCAGTATTATCTTTTGAGTTGTCTACTCAATATTTGTCTTTAAATTTCCTGTAACAAAATATCATCTCAAGTTGTAAGACTCCAAAATAATTAGGCAGGTTGCAACTCTGATAGTACACTAAAATGTAATAATAAAACAGGAATGCTTAAACATAGTTTTATGCAGAACAGTTTGTTTCCATCCTTCTGAAGATATCTTGGTAACAAGTACTGTATGAGAAACAAAATGCTGGATTAAGATGACCCTTAACCTAATCCTTCAGGGCTACTATTATTATACAGGGCTGGGCTTGTGCTTATGTGTGTTATTGAAGCAATAATTAACCATTCAAAGAGTTTGAGATCAGGATATACATCATTTTTGTTGGGATAGATTTGATGACTGTTAGAGATTGGCACTTACATTTACTGTCACCTGCATGCAATAGGTCTTCTCTACCTCTTGAGAGGTACCTACATTTTAGATGTATGAAAAAAAAATTCTTTATAATGTTTTTAATTTTTATGCTTTTAATTTTCTTTTTAAAAATTGAACATTATATGCACCACTTGCAGCTGTCACAGCCATACGGAGCATTGTAAAATGATGAAATAGTTTTGTGTTTCTGGGTTAAAAAATCATTGTCTTTGTATATCAACACTGGGAATTTTAGACATTTACTACTTGCCAGTGAATTTCTTCCTCTATATAAACTCCCATTTCCCAATCTGACGTTACATCATCCTAGCAATCATTGACAGATTAATGTACTTCTTATGCTGAAACATTTGTTCTTTCTTTTTGTAGGTTGGGAATGGGTAAAATGGGATGAGTTTCCACCAGCCAATATACTCTTCTGGCCTCTACGCTGCTTAAGAGAACAAAATTATAATCCTTTCAAAGAAGAATTAAATCACCTGATTGGGTACACTGGAAATCTATAAAAGTTATATTTTATGCATTTAAAAAATATATCAATAGGCCCCTATGAAGAGACTTTTGTTATCAATGTTATCAGACTTTTGTTATCAGTTGTACATTTTCTCTAAATACTTGAACTAACCTCTGTCAATAGTGCATGACTGGCAGTAATCATATTCCCTCCAAATGCTGTATTTTGGCACACCGCTTCACATATTTTTCTTTACAACAAATTTAATGCAGACTTAATGCATACTTGTGATACTTATGGTTTTGTTATTGGTCAAAGCAGCTGCAACAATGCATCCTATATTTTATGTTACTCTGCTCTGTAAGAAAAGATGATTGTATAGTAAAAGGATTATAGTTGTCTCCATAATTGATATGATCCAGTCTAATCACAAAAGGTCCATATTTTAAACTCTTCCCATTCTAATCCATTTTGCTCTGATTTAGGAGTACCACCATTGGAAAGAAAAATTACTACCAGCGTGAAAACCTTTTTTTTATCATGAAACTTTTCCAATAATGGGAAAAAACATTAACATGTTTTTATGCAACTATATAACCCACATTGTGTTTAGTTTTCCACTAGTTATTTTTGCATGATACACTGAATCAAAATTTGTTCAGCCACATTAAAATATATTGTGTGAATTTTGCCTTTATGGTTAACTGAGTAAACCAGGAACTATGAAAATCCATTTCATGTTAACTGAGCCTTTAATTTTTTAGGAAAATTATTTTTTTTTAAAAAAAGCCTTTGATTTGGGGATATTTTAATTGGAAAGAAAAAAGAGAAGTTAGCACAGGACCAGATCCAAGAGGAAAGTGTTGTGTTTTGTTTTGTTTTTAAAAAAACTGCTGTTTTAAAACTGACATGAACATATTTTAGCAAGGGATCCCAGCAGGTAAGATAAAACAGCAAATATGAAAAAAACCATCCTGTAACCTGGAACAGTCAGGAATATGTGCCCAAGTATAACAAGTGAAATCTTAATCCAAACAGGCATGGTGAGTTCACAGAGTATATCAATTTAATTTTAGCTTAATATAGAGAACTAGCCAATTCTGATTTAATCAATAAATGAGATTTTTAAAAAAACGTTTCCAAGATGTTTGTATCCATTCATATTACTTAGGTTTTCTTAAAATTTATCTCTTCCTCTAGTTCATTGGGAAGGCCAAGTCCTCAGCGTGCTACTGAAAAGCCAGCCCTTTCTTCATCATACTCTTTCTCTCTCTGACTGTCCTTAGCTTCTATCACTGATATTTTCTTTTGCCCTGCATGGCTTCTGATGATCTGACACCATTTCTCTCTCCCTTTCCCTTGATCCCTCTTGCCTTCATTGTCTCTGTCCTCCAAGTTTGAGAACCAAAGTCATCTCCTGCACACACTGGTTGCCAGGCTTAGGGCATGTTTAATGGGCCTAGCTTGCTGTTAAAAATTCAGGTTGTCTGCACTTAACAGTCACAATAGGGAGTGTTAAGTGCCAGCAAATCCATGATTTAGGGAGATGTTACATGACCATATGACCTCAGTTCCCTCATATTCATTAAACAAGACTTGGTGTAACCACAATACATTCAGTATTTTTAGTGAAAACTTACTATTTTATATGTAAAAGCTATTTACTACTTACACAACCTGATTGTTAATGAATCCAGCTAGCAAAATTCATACAAAACTATTCTATACTCTCATGCTCCTTGTGTGCATTGGGCTACAATTCCCATGACAAAAAGCCTAGGAAGTGGGAATGCTAGTAGAGTATTACAAACGAATGCACATGCAAAGTAGCAGGCTGGGGAAGTCTCATCTAAATAATATTTTCTGATTTTATGCAATCTGAGAGATTATTATATCTAAAGTTAGCAGACTTTTACATTAAATGCTTATTTAATGGAGCTGAAGAATGACATTTTCTCCCACATCTCTGCTGCTTGAAGATCTATTTTGAAGACTAGAAGACTTACTATAAAAATGTATTAAGGAATTGGTGACAGTTGCTCCTTGCAATTCTTTGTTGTTTAGAAAGTGTTACTCTACTCACAAGCAACAGCTAACTAGCAATTTCATAGAGATTTATTTTGTGCAAAAAGATTTTTATGAGTAAACACATACCAAAATAAATTATGTCAGAGCATAACACATTTCCAGTAGCTACTCCACCCTATTTCAACAATTATCTGAAATTCTGGGATAAAGTCTTATTCATCAAATACAAAAGAATGATTCTCATGAATTTTTAAGTTTCCTCCTTGGTACCACATTCTATCTGGAATGCAGAATGTGTGTATTTGCTGGTACAGTCAAGTGATTCAGATGCAGACCCTAATCGGAGTCACTACTGCTACTCGAGGAATCTGTTGACATAACCTCTACATCATCCTCATTCTCCTTATTATGTCCAGGAGGTTCTAACATAAAGTCATTGCTATGATTAGGAGGAAGCATGTTCATTGATATGTCACTTGATTGCCAGGGATATTGTGGTGCAAGTACATCTGAAGAAAAAAGAAATATATAATTACTTCATGCTCTTATTTATTTCTTAATAATATATTAAAATGACATGGAAGAACCTTCTGACGGGCAACCAGAAGTTTACAGTATAAAATTACACATCAATTTTACAAAAATCGAAATAAACTAGCCATATATTTGTAATTCCCACTGATTTCAGAAGAACATACTCTTTTTTCCCATTAAACCAGGGGTGAAATCTAAAAATTTTCCCTACCGGTTCTGTGGGCGTGGCTTGGTGGGAGGGGGTGTCCTGTGGCTGAGTGGGCGTGGCCAACTCGATGTCATTCACAGCAACGCCCACTCAGTCACAAGACCCCCTTCCACCAAGCCACACCCACAGAAGCCGATAGTAAAACTTTTTATATTTCTTTCTCCCGCGGCTCCGCCCACCCACCCCATTCCCTGGACTCCTACTGCTCACCTTTCTCCCGTGGCTGTCTGTCAGGGAAGGCAAGCGCCTGAAAGGTACTGGAGTTGCTCACTCTCCTTGAATGAGCCGCTCTGGTCCACGCGCCGGTTGCGCAAGCACACACCCAACCTGCCACTGAATTAAATAAACGATGTGAGCTTGCGCAGCCAGCGCGTGGACCAGAGCGGCTCATTCAAGGAGGAGAGTGAGCGACTCCGGTACCTTTCGGGCGCTTGCCTTCCCTGACAACCAGCCGCGGGAGAAAGGTGAGCAGTAGTAGTCCGGGAATG